GAGGCACTGGCTGGAAATGCCTCATGAGGGACCACACAGGCTGGCTCCTTCTGCCATGTTTCCTATCACAGGGATCCTCAAGTGTGGGCTGGCCAAGAAAGAGGCCTGGGGAGAGAGCATAGGTGGCCAAAGGCATAGCCTTCTGCCCTCTGTGGCCACACACTCCTTTCTGATGCAGATCACAGGTCCCCTCTGAAACTGGCCAGAAAGATGTTTACAGTTCACATTAGTCTTATACAAGGAAGCTTGCTGTTGTTTATTTTGAAGGTACTGGGGATCAAACCCAGGATTGCTGTACACTGAGCTACATCTTATCCCTTTGTGTTTTGAAACAGGGTCTCACTAAGTTCCCTGGGCTGGGCCCAAACCTGTGATCCTCCTGCTTCAGCCTCCTGAGTTGCTGGGATTACAGGCATGTGCCACTACACCTGGAGGGAAGCTGTTCTCTGATCACATTCCGGTTGGGAACATAGAATCTCCTTCCTTCCTTTCTTCTCCCTCTTTCCTTTTCTTCTTCCCTCTTTCCTTCCCTCTCTCCACTAGGAATTTTCCTTGTGGCTTTTCCTTGCTACCCAGACAGTGAATGGTGTTGTCACTAAGCCAGAGGTGCCTGATGAGCCTGTAAAATTTATAGACTTGGGGACCCCTGTGTGCCTCCAGGTATGGTACACAGGCCAAACAGACATTAACTGGGCTAAGAGACTGAGCCCGATCCTGAAAAGAACTTGTCATTAAAGGCATGGAAGCCACCCAAGGAGGGGAAAAGTCATTGGTGAAACTGAGTCCATTTTTCAGAAACAAATTCCTCCTCCAGAGGGAATTCTCTGGCTACTGCAGAGAATAGTGGGGGAAATGTCTGGTATTTTATTGTTTTGTTTTGTTTTTGGTACCGGGGATCGAACTCTGGTCCTTGCGCTTGCACAGCAGGCGGAAACCACTGAGCTAAATCCCCGGCCCAATGTCTGGTATTTTAGAGCCCAGCTTGGGCTCTGTGTTTGTGAGGGGGATAAGGAGGGGTGCACTGCTGTGAGCCCTCTGAATGATCAAGGACTTCCAGAGTCAGGAAAGGCCTGGTTTCCTCAGCAAAAGCATCAATGGTGGCCTCGAGACAAAGGCTTCTGCAAGGAATAGAAATACAGATGCCATCCATCTCTAAGGGTTGAGGTTGACTGTGGGAACCAAGGGAACCTGAATGTGGGCCAGAGAAAGATCAGGCTGCCATGGGTCCAAGTCTGAGCTTTTCGGAGATGAGTTCAATTAAAAGACACAGTGGATACTGAGGTTTCTGTGTGTGCCAGACTCCATGCTCGGTGCTCACACATTGAGGTGAGCATGATTTCATTTCATCCTTGAGTCCACCCTGTGAGTAGATAGGAGGTCTTTCAGCACAGGAATTTAGGGAATTTGCCAAGGGTGCACATCTGTGAAGCTGGGTGCCTCAAACCTGGGTGGGTGAGGTCACAAGTTGGGCTCTGAGTGAGTGTGTCTTGCCTCAGAATTCCCCAGGGCTCTCACATGCAGGCTGTGGCTCAGCAGGACTGGGGAAGAGGGCACTACTCTACTGTCCCCACACACCTCGGGTCCCCACGGTGCAGCATGGCACCATGCTGCTTGGAGGAGGTCCTCCTAAATCACGCTTTTGCTTATAGGGCTTAGCTCCACTTGTTTCTTCACCGTCAGTGCTCACTTCCTCACTTCCTGCTCTATCAGCAGTGCTGCCTCGAATGCACTAAACCATCCCCTCATTAAAGCCGCGTGATGATTCGATGCAGTCAGTGGCATTATTCCCCCTCCACAGAAGAAGAAGCAAAGGCTTGGAAGGTTGGTCAGTTTCCCCAAGTCACAAAGGAAGTGGAGGCCTTAACTATGTTACACAGAGCCCAGTCTTCAAATAAGACAGGAGTCTTCTGGGGTCTCACATAGGCCGTGGAGGATGAAAGACTTTCTTCTTAAGAGTCCAAGTGGGGAAGGAGGGAGAGAGCACAATTTTTTAGAGCTGGAGTTGAGCTTAGCCCTCTCCCCCTTCTCGCTTTCATGGCCCTTCCTTCCCTTCCCCCAGATACTGCAGCCAAAGTGAACGATCCTTGCATAACTAGCGTTTCCACAAGGCGTGTGTATTGGACTTGATTGCCTTTCTACCTGTAATCCCTCTGTAAATCTCCCCAGCGGTGAGCTCTCTGGGATAATCATGTGAGGTATACATATGTTTATATATATGTATATATATATTTGTGATTATATATATATATATGCATGTATACATAATTTTTTATAAGAGCAATTCTAACACAAAATATCTACCTATCTAAGCTCATTACCCAGAAAAATTTTCCCATCCTTTCTAGGTCTGTTGCATTGACATTTGGACTGTTCTTTACTGTTACGGTTAGTGTCTAGATGTCCTCCCAAAGCCTCATGTGGTCATAGGTGGGGCTTTTCAAAGGTGGCTGGATCTAGAGTGTGGGATGCTGGGATCAAGGATGCGTGATTACTAAGTTAGTCCTCTGATTGGTTTGCATGGTTCTGGGTAGGATTAAGGGTGCCCTACTGTGCGGTGAGTGCTACCCTTCCTAAGGGTGGGTAGCCTGGATGTAATACAAGGGACAGAAAGAGGGTCCTCATTTGTCCCTTACTGCTTGCTGCTTTGGTTCTTCACTACTTTGCTGCTTTCTGCCTGCCATGAACTCTTTCTCCTCTGAGATGCCTCTTTGCCATTCCACTCTGCCTAGGAGCCAGCTGACTATGAACTGAAACCTCTACACACTGTGAGCTAAATAAACTTTTCCTCCTTTAACTTTGGGTGTCAAGTATTTGGTCTCAGCAAAGAGAAAAATTAACTAAGACACTTACATTGTATTTGTCTAGTAATAGCAGCCATAGAAGGGATCCAGTGGACTGGGACTCGGAAGTTCTAAGTAGCTCTGACTCACAACTGTGCCCTTTTTTAGCTTTGTGAATCTGGGTACACATTTTCTGACTCTCTAAACCCCACTTTCCTCATCTATAAAATGGGAATGCTAACAACACCTACCTCTTGAAGTTTTTGTGAAGATTAAATTTAACTGAGTGAAGGTTCCTGGAAGAAGATAGATAACCAATAAATGTACAATCTTCTTTCTTTCCTGGTAGTGGGAAATAATAAGTAGGATCTGACTTAATTCTCTATGGCTCTCATAATATTATGGCATAACCTCCCCAAAACAATGAGCCATCCTTTTTTCTAAACTGCTAATTGCCAAATCAGCCTGAAGCCATAGGCAGGGATGGGCTATGCTTCCTCTCATATCATTCAGGTTTTTTGTTTGGTGTAATTTTTGTGAATGCCTCTAACTCTCTGCAAGCCCTTACACCAGCTGGTCTGTCCTTTCTGTGTCTAATTCACTCCCGTTAACCTGCTTGGTCAGCAGCACTTCCCATCTCCTTGCTGTATTTCAGGAGTGCATCTGTCTGGAAAAGGCATTTTTTGTATTTACTTTAACTGGCTTAATTTGGCAAGGAGGTCTGGGATTTCAGCCCCGGAGAAAAAACAGCTTTGATTATACTGCCCTTGTTTACCGTATGCACTCGGTGGTGCATCCCTTGTTTAGTGAGATGGTAAATGCTTCTGCAGGGAGCCAAGGCGTAACACAAAGAGTGTTGGCAAGCATGTGGGTGACCCCTGGCTCACACTGCTCTGCACAGTGCTTCCTTCATCTGAAAACCACACCCTGCATTAGCAGTCAGCTACCCTGGGGTGATCCAGTGGGCAGATTATCTTCAGTGGGGGTGCTGGGGAGGCCCCAAAGGAACACTGACTGAGTCCCACACTCCCAGAAAATAGAGTCTGCTTCTCGGCCAGGGATTGTGGTGACTTAGGACACTGCTTTTATCTACACCACCATCCTCTCTTCTTTGACTCTAGCAACAGCTTCCTGACCAATCTCCCTGCTCGGCCCTTGGATTCCTCTGTATACACTGACTCATTCCACTGCCTTATTTCAAATCCCTCAGTGGCTTCCCTCTTGTCGTCTAGAAGGAACCCAGACTTTTAATAGGTGGTGTAAGGCATGGCCAGGCTCTCACGTTATCATACGCCTTTTGCAGTCTATGCTCCCATTGTGGTAAACGTTTGCAGTTTAATCCATTTCTTCATTCATTTCAGAGTTACTGATCTAGGATCTAGTATATGCCAGACACTGTGTTGAGCCCTGGGGATTCAATGATATATAAAAATGTGGTCCAAATTCCATGGAGCTTTAGGTCTGAGGTGAAGATCAATAATCAAACGATTACCCCCATGCAGCTCAGAGGATGACTTGAGCATCGCCGATAAGTGATGTGAGGTGAGGTAACTTGTGAAATGAGGCCGAAGGGTAAGGTGATCCAACCTCACTAGGGAATCACACAGCCTCCTCCCACAGTGCCTTGCAAACAAGGAGCTGAACAGGACGTCAGAGGGAAGCAAGCAAAGAGCAAAGGCCTGTGGCAGGAGGGAGAGTGTGGTGGAGGAGTTAAGGAAGCTGACCCACTGGGCCAGAGCACAGAGAGCACCAGGGGATGGGAAGGCAGGGGTGGAGAAGGCAGGGGAACTGGGCAGGACCTGGGGGCCACAGTAAGGGTGTGGGTGTATCCTAAGAGCAGTGGCAAGGCTCTGGAATGAATGCATAATGACGGTATAATCAGAAATATACTTTGAAAAGAACATTTGGATAGCTTGAAGAGGGGATGAGGTGGGGTTTAAGAAAGTGTGGGGAATTTATTGGAGTGGTTAAGGGAAGAGATGTGAGTGGCTTAGACCAGGTGAGGGTAGTACAGTGGAAAGCAGTAGACACATTTGATAGATAATGAACAGACATTTTTGATATGAAAAGTAGCTGACATTATTTGATAGATAAGTGACAGATTAAATCAATAGGATTTGATTTGTGGATGGGTGGGATGTGGGATGGGTACATTGAGAGAGAGCTATGAGAGTGTACACTGAGCAACCATCATGTTCCAAAGAGGTGGGTCTCACTCACCTGTGAGGGTGGCCCTGGTGGTGGGACCGATGCCCTTGAGGACCAGCATCTCATGGTATTGCTCCCCTGCCAGGGTGCTGTACACGACCTTGTACTCCTGCACTTCTGCCTCACTGTTATCCCACTCAAGGTCAAGGCTGGTTGCTGTGCGGGAACCAACTCGCAAATTCTTGGGAGCATCAATCTCTGAAAATAGACAGACATCACCAGCATCATATGCAGTAATGCGCATTTGGGGTGCATCTTGAATTTTAAAAGCCTCTGGGTGAGACGCCTTCTGACCCTCTGCTTCACCTTCCAGTGAAGCCCGTGCTTGCCCTTAGCTTTTAGTCTGCCATCTCAGACTCTCTGGGCAGGTCAGAGGGTTTCATTTGGGAGTTAGACATCAATATACTTTATGTTTGCACTTCGACCATTCAAGAGTTTCAGTGGTGTGCTAGAAACTTGAAAATGAACAAGATAATATTATAAATTTAAGAACAAAACAAAGAAAACCTCAGTAGGAGAAAATCAGGGATAATACCAAGTGATTTAAATAGAATAGAGCAATATCAAATTTGAGCATGAAGCAAAAAGGAGATGGTTGATTTCGTGATGTCTTCTCCTGGATTTACCTGTACAGACACAGCTGGAAGGCTATCAGCTTAGAAAATTGAGGTATAGATAGAGGATGTGATAGAACGGGAAGAACATGGGCTTTGCAGCCAGGCCCGAGTTCGATCCTCAGCTCTCACCCCTGCAGTAATGGGACTAATGGACATGTTTTTTGCTCTTGTGAGGACTCTATGGGCACCTGTATAGCAGAGGCAAATAAAATTGATAGTCTACATTGCTGAAGAGATTACGCAATATGTGTCAAGTTGCCTGCTACAAAAATAGATATTCACGTCCCAAACTGGGTTTCTGTGGCCCCTTAAACTCTTCCTGAGTTCCAGCATTATGGCCCCAAAGCTGCTCTTGGGGTTCTCAGGATTCCAGTGCAATGAAGGGCATGTCAGCATTGGATTCTCTCCCGTCACCCCAGGGGAGCTGCTTCTCTCCCCTGCGACCAGGCCAGCTCCTTCAGCTCATTTAAGGAAGAATAACATAAACAACTTGTGTAATAAGATGCCGCCCTGAAAATCCGTCACTTCAAAAGTTCCAGACATTTCTTGTCTTTGAGACACGCATTTAACTTTGGAGTGGAACAGCCAATTTGTTCTGAGAAAACCTCGGGTGGACTGTTGCAATTTGCAAAAGCAAGGTTTGTATCCGCCAATTGTTCTTGTGAAGAGGAGAATGCTGTGAATCAATCTGAAAGCAGAGGCTTCCGTGTGAGAAGTATTCTGTTTAGTGATGTAAATTGGGTGAATCTTTTAGCAGATTTATGTCTCTGCAGCTTATTTTTCTGAGAAATGTTTCTTCATTCAATGTACTTTGGCATGCGGGATCCTGTACATTCTTGGCATGTTGAGTATGTTATTTACGTAGCAATTGGTTGGAGAGGCAGGTGGAGGGGCTTGCCAGGCAGCATAGCCCTCAATCTGAGGTGGGAGAAGAGACTGGACAAATGGCCTGGGTGGGCTTGGGGTGTGTGTGGCCAGAGCTGAGCCAGAGCAAAAGCAGTTGAAGTTAGGGTCAGGGTTAAGCTTGAGACTTCACATAATGCTCTTCACAACTACAACCTGATAGCTTGGAAATCTCTCCTTTTTATAAGAACAGAGTAGAATCACTGCCAAAAGTTTTGGGATTTTTGGTCACAGGGCTTGCACCCTGTAGTAAGGGCAGTGTTTTCTCTGAAAGGGACTAGACACTTTCAAAGTCAATAATGCTGAGAGGTTGTTCCCAGAGTAGGGCCTTGGAAGGTGAGTCTCAGAATGGGGAGAGGTGAGCTGGCTGGCCCTCTGGGTCTAGAAACCTGATGCCTCTGAGGGGCAGTTGAAGGACACCCCTTCCAACCCCCAGCTGGAACTGAGCTGGTCTCTGTAACATGTCAGTAAGCCAGGAATGAGGCAAAGACCCCTGGGTTTGTGAGCTCTGGCAGTATCTACTCTTGGTACTATTATTTTTTGTATCGGGGATCGAACTCAGGACTGGACTTTCCAGGCATCTACTCTCTAAAACATAGGTTAGATCACTAATTCCCCTGGCTTAAACCTTTCCTGTTCTCTGCATTGTACACGCCTAGTCATAGCCTGCAGGGCTCTGAACGAATTGGTGCGGCCTGCTTCTCAGATGTCACCTCCTAACACTTCTACCCCTATTCATTGTGGTCCAGCTGAATTGCCTTTTTCCTTCTCTCGAAACACACCAAGGTGATTCCTACCTCAGGACCTTTGCACTACACTGCTTTTGCCTAAAATGCTCTTCTCTGGATCTTCCCATGACTTAGGTCATATAGGTCTTCATTAAAATATCATTTCCTGGGGACTTTCCAAATTCCAAAATCTAATGGAGCTTCCTTCTATCATATTTCTCTTCTTATAGTAGTCACGATTGAAATGTTGTATTTTTCTTTTCATTGTCCAATTTCCCCCACTAGAATGTCATTCGTATATACTGGGATCTTGTGTATCTTGTATATCTTGTTTGTTCTATCGCCTCAGTGCCTAGAACAGTGCTTAGACCCCAGCAGAAGTTCAATAAGGCACAAAAATGACCATTATCTGTTCTTTGTTTTGTTTGCTACCACAAAGCCTCTGGGAAAGTCTTATTACCTACTTTAGCTGTGAGATTTTGAGGATGCATAGGGTGAGTGGTACAGGGAAAAGGGCAGCTTTGACAAGGGCAGCTGGTCTTGCAAGGGGAGAAAGGCCCCTCTGCTATCTTACCAGACCATTGGCTGAGTTGGCAAATGCCATCCAGACTGAACTTGTGAAAGAACTTCCTGGAAGATCCCAGAGGGCATCACTGCCAAGTAGATGGAGCTTGAACCTTGTGGCTGGGATGTCATATTAGTTTCCCAGGGCTGCCATATGTGGATGTCTTTCCAGGAAATTATTGTCTGGAAGTCTGAGATCCTGGTGTCTGAGCGCTGTGAGAGGCTGTGGCATATTTCCGTCTCAGCTTCCAATGATTTGATAGCCACCTTTGGCATTTCTTGGTTTGTATCTCTGCCTTCATCTTCACATGACATTTCTTTTGTGTGCATGTCTGTTTCTGTGTCTAAGTTTTCCCTTTTATAAGGACCTATCTCCAAATAAAGTCACATTCATATAACCTGAAGTTTAGGGCTTTAATCCCTTTTTAGAGGACAGGGTTCACCCCATAACATTAAGTGAGGTTTGGAGCATTCAGGTCAGATGTGGCAGTGGCTGAATTCTGAGGGTTAGGCTGAAAGGGAAGAGCACCAGGGGACAGGACAGTCCCAAGAGTCCCCCAGGAGGGCAGCTGAAAGCAGGGTGGCTGAGGTGGGGAGATTCTGGGGTGGCTTCCATTCTTCTTGCCTGGTCTCTCTTTCATGCCTGAGTTTGCTGGACTTCCATCACAGTTCTTTCTTTTTTCAAATTGCTCTAAACCCAGGCAAATATCCTACACACCATGCAGGAAGCAAATCTCTGTTTTAATTGCCTGTGGAATTAGTACACTCCTAGTGTCGAAGCCAACACCTGGAAAAGCACTTTGATTAATTTGAATTTAAGCGGCGTTTTGCAATGACTGAGGGCCCTACTGTGAGTCTGGGTACCCTTTCAGCATTTAACTGGCACCTGCCAAGCCCGGACTTTGAGAGTCTGGCTGCAAAACTGTCTTCCCACTCTATGGCTTCTCCCAGTCATGGAGCAGAGGCAAGTAGATCCAAGATGCAGGCTGAGTCTGCACGGAGGAAGCAGCCGCCTAACTGCTGCCAATCCACCAGGCAGCCGGAGATGGAGAGTCACGAAGCAGCAGCAAACTGAAGCTCAGGGGGGAGCTCCAAGGAGGCAGAATGTGATTGTCTTGATTGGAATTTTCCTGGGCCACCAGCCAATCCTGCTTGCATCTTGTCGACCTGAACATCGAGAATTTTCTTTTCATCACACTGCTTGAGAGCTCTCTTCCCCTTTTTGCCTCTTCAAACTCCTTATCAGAGCACAGCACAAAGAAACCACTTTTCAACCTCAGTCTATCTGGAAATGAAGGAAAGAATGCAGAACTTGAGGTCCACAGCAGATACCACCACCCTGAGCAAGTGGTGCTGTGTGTGTGTGTGTGGGTGGAGGAAGGCCGACCTTGAATTTTCTAACCAAGAAGGGATTCCTGGCTCATGCTGTCCCAGGAATGTTTTTGGTTAAATGAAGGAGAAGAAAGGAAGAGAAATGGGCAGAACTTGGTTTTTTTCTCCCAAAAGCACACTCAGTCTCTAGGGATCCCAAGACATGCTTAGTGAAAAAATGCCTCTGGCCACATCCTAGTGAGGGAGTGGAATCTGGTACAAGCACAGCCAGGAAAGCCTTTAAGGGTCTCCTGCTGAATCAAGTCCAGACTTCTGCAGTTTGCTACACTTGTTTCCTTTGAAGGCAGAGATCTCTGAGTGGAAGGAGCTCCATCACCAGACTCCTGGCCTCTCTTTTTTTGCTGCAGAAATGGATCTAATTAATGTGAAGTTTTGCAGCAAGGCCTGGGCACAGCCTCTCTGCCCTCTCTCTCCTAGGATGGACTGCTTTCAGGGATCAGGTCTCTAATCTGAGCAGTCTCCAGTTCTGCCATGTAGACAAAGCAGTCCAGGTCCACAGGGGCTGTTCAGGGTGCAAATCCATCTGACTACCACTAAGCTATATGTTCCAATCTAGGAGATAGGTTAGTGTCTGTTTGTCTTACTCTTTGGCTTATTTATCATGATTAAAAACCCAAGTGGTGCAGAGAGTGCTAGTTGTTGAGGCTCCTGGACTCCATCCTGTGATGGGCTCTTAGGCCACAACCCAGAATAGTGTAGGACACTTGAATGAGTGATTCTTCTGCTCTGTCAGAAGGTGGTGCACATTCTGCGCTCTTACAGATATTATAGGTTCCCTTTGATTTCTTGAACAACTTGAAGTTGGCAGAGACATTCGTTGACACGTGACCTCCCCCAGGGAGAGAAGCCAAGGCTGACAATCTGGACTAAATGCTCAGTCACTAATCTGATCACAGACCTTGTTGACCCCAAGAGTGTGTCAGGAAGCTTGATGGCGCCCGTCCTACTTACCCACTAGCTGGCCAGACTGATGGGTGCTGAGACAGTCTGGGACAAGTCACTCTGAGGTCTGGCCTTTCCTGATTGTTAGACACTCTTTGAGTCCTAACAGTCTTGGGAAGGAGGGGGCAGTAGTCATCACAGCAAGGCAGGAGGTATTCACATGGGCTCAATTCAGCTTCCTGTCTGTGGGAATCCGGCCTCCTGTTCCCCTTATTGCTAGTGTGCACAAATGGTGGGTGAATCATGGATCCCAGGGGAAGGTCTATATGGTTATACAGGTTGGCTTTGTGCAGTGATAAGGTGCATGATTGTAGTCGTGCAGCCATAATAGGTTTAGAGCATTATTACAACAATTTTCAGCAAATGGCATAAAGTGTCTAGAGGAGGAGACACCCTTCCCGAACTCTCCCAAAATTGCCATTTGGGCTAGCAATAGGAAGCTTAAATGTCTTCAAGGAAAGCCTGTCATTTTACAAAGGAGAAACCTGAGAGCCACAAGAGGAAGGGACTTACATGGAGGCATAGATGTGGCCAGCAGAACTAGGGTGAGAAGCTAGTTCTCCTCACTGCTTTCCTATTACCCAGTGATGCTGACATCCACAGGAGGCCCCAACTCTCACGTCCCGTTGCAGCGCTGTAGTGACAGGGATGCGCAGCACACTCTCTTGCTCCTTTCACACACCTTTTGCCTGGACCAGCCTTACCTGTGGTGAACTGGGTGGTCGTAGACTCGCTCTCATTGGTCCCTCGGACTGCACTGATGGACACCTCATAGCGGGAGCCAGGCCGCAGGGCTTGCACTGAGTATTGGCTCAGGGGAGGCTGCAGCCGGAAGGTGGTCTTCCCACCTTCCCCACCCAACAGGCCATATTTCAGGAGAATGAAATCGACTTTGGCACGAGGAGGGGTCCACTCCACAAAGGCCACTGTGTCGGAGACATCTCGTACCAGGATCTGTGTGGGCCCATCTATGACTGGATGAGAAGGATCAGAGAGAAGAAGTTGGTTGAGAAATAAGCCTTCACATCAGCTCTCTCCTTTCCTTCTGACACTAGTTTGGTCAAAGCCAGGATAGGTATCATCACCCCACTTTACAGATGGGGAAGGTGAGGCACAGTAAGATGACACTGGAGCTCAGTTGCCCTGATACTCAGACTCCTCCTTGTACCAGGCTGTAACCTTCAGGTGCTGGCTGTTCCTGTCTAGGGAGGGAAAGGCATTTACTGGCATCTCTTTCTGGATGTGATGGGGCAGATACCTGAGGACAGAGGTCTGGAGTGTGCTTGGAGCCCTGCTCTTCCCTTCCTAGATCCCTGAGGAAATGACAATCTTCACAAACTTCTGGGACTTTGATGTGGTTGTCAAAGGGGTCATCATGAGTGCTTAAAAGTTGTCCCTGTTTAGCCGTACTCACAGGCCAGCCAACTAGCTGCTGACTGTACTCAAACCCAACAGACATTTGCATTTGTGGACCTGAGACATGCCTTGTGAGGTAATGCGCGGCTCTGATTCAAAAGGACTGCATCTTGAGAGTGGCCACTGTGGGTCATTTTTCTTCCCTGGTGGTTGCAAATTTCTGAGACAGCAGGGCACAGCAGGCACACATAGGCCCGCAGGTTCTCTAGTATATGTCCCTCACCTGCCCTGTGCAGCAGAAGGGATGCCTGGAAAAGCTCTCTGGTTTCCTCCAGGGCCACCATCCATGGCTCCAGCTCCTACTTGGGGTCCTTTCATATTGAGTTATACTGAGTAGGGGAAGTGAGAGAATGTAAAGTGGGAATAGAAAAAGAAAGGGCTTAGTGAGAACAGAAAATGGTATTCTGAACTCCTCATGGGATGTCTGCAGGGCTGATATGCCCTTCTTTGAGAATTACTCATTACTTGTTAAAAGAATAGGCTCAGCCTCTGTGTTTGGATTTGCTATGAGACTACAGCCCTTGGGCTGGAGCTCCATACTATTAATATTCTTGAAAGATTGGGAGTTGGCACCAAAGACTCTGGTTCTCTAGTTAATCTGTGGTGAGCCATGTAGTGGTAGACCTGGTGAGGCCATTCTCTACCATATTCATACAGAAATGGGAAGCATTTGATGGGAGATATGGAGGGGAGAGGAGAAGGAAAGGGAGGAGTGGGTAGGGGAGAGGACAAATGGGGAGGGCAGAAGAAGAGAGGGGAGGAGAGAGCAGATATAGACAGAAGCAGAAACGAATGACCATGTGGAGCTTCTAGAAAGATGCAAAGGGTAGCTCAATTTCTAATGTTCCATTTTGTGATGCAAATCTTTTATTAGGGCCATATGAATTTCTGGCCCCGGGTTTCTGTGAGATGCTCTATGTCCTTCCCGTAAATTCTCTTTTGCTTCATCTAGTTAAAGTAAATTTTCCTTCCTTAATACCTTAGAGTCTTGGCCAAGACTTGTTTTTAACCAGCATGGCCTGGATCACCTTCTACTTTGTCTCCAGGGAGAGGTCTTTCCCCTAGCACTGTCCCAGGCCAGCCTTGAGTCTCTCGCCTTTTCAAAGATCACTATTTCCCTGGGGACCCCACACTCATTCTGGAGCTAATTCTCTCCTGATTTCTATTAAGCAACTTAAGACTTTTGGTCTGATACCAGCCAAAATGAAAATCACCAGACCATTTTTGGGGCCATCTGGTTTGGAGTTAAAGCAAGTCCTGGTTTTCATATTTGACGGAGTCATGTGATTTCACAGGAACTATTCAGATGGCTTCTATTCAGCATGCTGGGCTTGGTGGCTTTAGATAACTAGGACCTTTTAAATTTCATTTAATTGAATTATGAGATGGGGAATAGTCTCCTAGCTATGGTATAAGCTTAATGCCTGAAACAAAGTAGACAGTCAATGAGTGTGGGGTAAATGAAATGACTGGATGAGTCTCTTCATCCACAAGCAAGAAGGGGCAGAATTTCAATGAACTGGAACTTCTGGGAAAAAAAAAAGACATCAGGACCACAGAAAGCTTTTGTCCTTCAACTGTTTAGATCCAAAAACACTAATCATAACGGATTGACCATATTAGAATGTGATTATGTAGCACAGAGGGCTCTAGCTGCAGGAGGTCTTGTATTTGCATTTACAAAATGGCCTGTCTGGAAAAAGCCAGTCTGAGTGCAGATGAGGGCTCAGCGCTTCACAGGAGGGGGTTGGTGTAGATCAGACCTTAGTAGACGGAAATAATTAAACAATCTTTTCCTAAAAACAGCAGACAAGGTTGTGAGCCATCTTTTCTGTCACCACCCTTGGATTCTGCCCTTTGGTTGGTCACTTGGCTGGTAATGTCCTATTTCAGTCAAAGAAGCATCACCTTGCTTTCAATTTAGGCCCTAATTTCCAAACAAACATAAGCCCCACTCATAAAGTAAATTGGAATTCTTGTGTTTCTTTTTCCATTTTTTTCATGGCTACTGTACACAATGCCAAAATACTAACAGGACATTGTTTTCTTAATTGAAAAAGAATCTGCCTATTTTACCATGGCATCTGAAACTTTAAATTTTTTTTTTTTTTTTTTGGTACCAGGGATCGAACTCGGATCCTTGCACTTGCACAGCAGGCGATGAAACCACTGAGCTAAATCCCCAGCCCCTGAAACTTTAAATTTTAATCTCAAGGGATTTCCACTCCCCTCAATATTGGAAATTTTATGAAATTGTGGTTAGAATGGAAGACTAAGTCTGGGTTGGACTCCCTCCTCTAAGTACTTTCATTACTTGGGAAGAAAAATATTCAATTGTCACGTTCTCTCTCCTCTTGTGAACTATCTCCTCTTTCTAGCATTTTTTTCTTTACTAGTGCTTTCTCAATATCAGATCACAAGAATGGTTTGGGGACCTCAAACCATTCCATCACAGAAGTGGAAAATCTTTGCTTGTTATCAAATGTTAATTCTTCAGGTTCCAGGATAACCTTGGGGCTGAGCTGTGCCCTTGGCCTTCTGGAGATTCCTGCAGAGCACTTTAGGTTTCAGAGCCGTGGGGTTTCTTATAAAGCATATTTGGATTAGAACAGTGCCCTTTTTTTGAGTGAAAAATTTTTTTCAAGAACAAAATCTTAAACAGCTATACAAAATATAAGATGTTTTGGAATGGAGCTGCCCTCATTGGCACATGGGAGAGTGAATAATTAGAGGTGTGGATCTCCACCAGATCCTGGCATCAGGGCATAGCCATGGAACCTCAGTGCAGGATGCAGGATGAGAATAGAAGCTGATGCCACTATGGCTTTTAACCAGGTTTCCTGGGCTGAGCTTGAGGCTCAGCACCCAGTGTTATGTAGTTTGGATGTAAGCAGAAAAATATGAATCCCTAATCCATAAACATGGTCTTGTGACACAGTCTTACTGTTCTCTCTCTCTTACTTCCTTCTTTTTTTTTTTTCTTGTCCTGGATTTCAGGCTAGCTGTCTAGGGTATCAATTTCTGTTTATGAAAAATAAAACTATACCAATATTCACCCATCTCAGTTTTTGTTAATGACAAGAAAAGTTGCTTGACTTCTGAATCCTACTCAGCTCTCTTATCAATAAGATGAAAAACAAAAATTGATACTATATGCTATTTATAACTTTTGAGAAAGTCTTGGTGAAGGCACATACATATGCATCACAATGGCTAATTTAAAACATGGAAGTTGAACATCCCTTGTTAGCTAAGGAAACAATAAGGCCAAATATGACACAGCTAATGAATCAATCCTACAAATACAATGATCTTGAATGAAAGGAACTGTGGGAATGAAAGAATAATCAACTTAAATTTTCACCTTGAACAGGGGTCTAACTTTACCTACTGTTTTTAAATGGCTTGTCTCCTATTGCTTTCACTTGTGAGCATATGTTCTGGGTAGATGTGTATATACCAAGTGTCACTCTCATCAGCGCAGTGCTAATCACTCTGTGAACTTCATCTAATTTAATCTTTATATCATCTCAATGAAGGAGGGGTTATGCAAAATGGATTGAGGTTTGGGAAGGTTTAGCTGACTTTTGCCAGATCTCATGCTAGGTAAGAGTGAGTCAGTTCTTGTTTGTTCCAAAGCTCATGACACTAGGAGGTCAACAAAACAGACCTGTTGATGAATAATATCAGGAAAGTCTTAACAGAGAGTTTCCACCATGGAACTCTCTCCCAGGTTTTTATGCTTGCATGGCTGAACAAGGAGGAATGTGATCAGCTACGCATCTGGTGGAGGAGATCCTTCTCCAGGACCTCAAATTGCCCTGGCTCTGGGAGGAACCCTCACACCTCATTTGCTTCTCTACATCCTGGGTAATCCTGCAGTTGCTTTTCCTGGGTGGTGATCTGAGCAGCCTGGGGGACGGTCAGAGGCACTTACCAGTGGACACGCTGGCTGAGGTTGGGGGGCTCCGTGCTTGCTCTTTTAGTGCCACCACATTGACAATGTACTCCTCCCCAGGTTTTAATCCTGTCTGGTTAAAGGAGGTGACATCGCTGGGGAGCTGGGCAATCACTCCTCCTTCATTGTTCTGGAGAGTGAGGAACAGCAGGAAAGCAAAAGAGAAAAGCAAGACAGAACAAGAGTGAGATAAAGGTACAGAGCACTGATTGTGAACTGGAAATACAAATGAGGGCTGTGTCTGTTCCCTCCACACTAACAGCTGAGTGGATGGGCCAGCCACAACTCTATGCAGCTTAGTAAGAACTGATTTTCAAGAATGTTTCTTTGGCTTCTCCTGAGTTTTCTGAGTTTGCCAAAAAAAATCAGTCATGAGGAGATGCAGATTAGCTCTTGCCAAAGACTAAATGTTTGGTGGTTATAGTTAGCACCCATCATTTTTTTTAATACTTATTGTGATGAGTATGCCCTGGGCTATTGAGAAGAGTACAATTGTGTGTTTATGTGTGTAAACATCTTTATATGCACACACAACATATTTCAAACAAAGACATTCTCAATTTTTTTTTTATGAGCTGGAGCTTTCACTTTGCCAGACCTGGAGTTTGTCAAGGTGTTACCCTGGGTGCAAATCTGTCATTGTCTTGTTTCCCCTTATCCAGATGAGTTAAGACTCAGAGACACAACCATGAAATACAAAGAAAGGAAAAAGAAGCAGAGAACAGAGACTGCTACAAAGGAGAGAAGAAAGAGATGAACTAGTAGAAGAAGTAATGAGAAATAGCAACTTGATGTGGAGTCCAGGCTGTATCCTCTGCTTGCCTGCCTGTGTCTGTCTGTCTGTCTGTCTTATATTTATCATCTATATTTTAATCATACATTTTTTATATGTGTTTTTGGAAAGAGAGGAGGCAAATAAGTCCTTTTTGTCACGATCCTTCTTCCTTCTTCTTTGTTTGCTATGTCATCCAGAATATCCTGTATCGAATTTATAGCTATACTCTTGTTAATCAGTATGATAAATGCCCCCCAGTGACTTCAACCCTCAGGTCACAATAGTTATCCATGTGGCCGTATATTTGATCTCGGTACACCACGGGCAGGACCGTTCTCATTTAGAGGTTTACATATTGTATGCAAAACAAAACAAGAGAGCCTGGCATAATTCCTTCTGCCTTAGTAGCAAGGTGACATGATTCTTTCTGCCTTGCTATAAACCCAGTTGCTTGCCATTTGTCTTGGTCACTGTAACTCAGACGAGATGTGCAGTGACTGGTGGTATAGCACACCTCTTTAGGTGTATTTAGGGTGCCATGATATGACGACAGCCATGTAAGAGAATGAGGTATCTCAGTATAGTGGACAGAGCCCAGAACAAGAAGCTGAAACTAAGGATTTTCTCTGAAGCCTGGTGCCAAGTAGGTGTATGATACCATTTAAGTTCTCTGAGTCTTGTTCTCTATAAATTAAATGTAAAATTAAAGGTCTTTTGTAGCTCCAAAAGTCAATATCCCTAAGAGTTTTGGAATAGAAGAACTGGTAAAATCAGTCAAATGTGCCATTTGTCATGAAATCTGATGAATGACTAAAAAAAATGCTGTTTAATGTTGAAGGATGCAGACAGAGGAAAGCAGTGGGACTGAGCTGGCAGTTAGGGAGAATATCAAAGGGTCAACACATCCGGGAAGACTAGAATGGGCAGGAACCTCTTGGCAAGTTAGAAGCACTTTTAGGATGAATAAAATAAAATCTCACTTTAAAGAATAGAGAGGAATCTTAGGATATACTTTTAAACTTATAGACTAGATAGTGTAAATTTAATTAAAGAAACTGTTGCTTAATTAATAGGTTACAGATTCAGTTGAATAATTCAGGAAAACCAAGGTGTGTTTTGTGGTATGTCTGTGACCTTCGGGAACTGGAGCCACGCAGACTGATTTTTCCTGGGTCTTCCTGTCCAGACTGAAGCTGGGGCTGACTATGTGACTGGCTTTATTTGGCTTTGCTTTTTCTTTCTTTTCTTTCTTTCTTTCTTTCTTTCTTTCTTTCTTTCTTTCTTTCTTTCTTTCTTTCTTTCTTTCTTTCTTTCTTTCTTTCTTTCTTTCTTTC